GGTATTATCGAGACGGCCATCTCTCGACGCCTCTTCCACTTGCGGGGGCGAACGGGACCTCTTGGTCTTCCATTTTTTCTCTCTTTTTTTTTTCTTTCTTCCTTTCTTCCTTTCTTTCTTCCTTTCTTTCTTTCTTTCTTCCTTCCTTTCTTCCTTTCTTTCTTCTTTCCTTTCTTTCTTTCTTCCTTTCTTTCTTTCTTTCTTCTTTCCTTCCTTCCTTTCTTTCTTCCTTTCTTCCTTCCTTTCTTTCTTTCTTTCTTTCTTCCTTCCTTTTTTCCTTTCTTTCTTTCTTTCTTTCTTTCTTTATTCCTTTCTTTCGTCCTTTATTCCTTTCTTTCTTCCTTCCTTTCTTTCTTCCTTCCTTTCTTCCTTTCTTTCTTTTTAATCATGAGATTATGCATGTATAGTTCACTGATGGAAACAAGTCTGTGCGAGGGAAAAGTCTGAAGGATGGAATGCTTACATATAATTCTGTAATTCTTCTGTGCGAAGGAGAGAAAGGATGAGTAAGGGATGAGATTGATAGGTAAGGGCGCACGATTCCTGCGCGAGACTTCTTTTCAGCAGTGAACCATGGTTATTGTCCTCTCCTCTCCTCGTTGTAAAATGTAATTTTGGGTGGAATTTTTTTAAGCGAGGGAGGATATTTGTTTTTTTTTTGACTGCAACTTTGACGATGATCCAACTGATCGAACTTTCTTCTGTATTGTTGAGTAGCCTCCGATGAGACGTTCGCGCGGCCGCACAGTAGACAAGGGAGCGAAGGTTTCAAGCAAGGTAAGGAATATCATTACACGGTTTACACGATTAACACTTTTTCGCCCGTAATCGAAGTAACAATGTCGATGTCATTTTTAATAATTTTTGATCGAAAGGAAAAAAAAAAAAAAAAAAAAAAGAAAAGGAAAAAAGGAAAAATTAGCTCAATCTTATTTAACGAATAATTTTATTAATATCGATATCGATTTCGATACAGTTTTATTTTGAAATGGTATTAATTATATCGCTTATCTGTTCAAATTAAATGATAATATTTGTTATCGTATTGTATCTGTAAAATTCCATTCCGATGAAAATTTTAAATAATAATAATATTTATGTATATATGTAAATCGATATTTTGAAATGTTTACTATTTTTATTATTATTACATGTGAATATTCAGAGCAACTCATATTGATTACAGTACAATGAAATTATGCTGAATTTGTATTAAAACGTTGATACGTAAGCGATGTGGATGAATATTTTTTTATAATTTTAAGATAAACGAATAGATTGAATTGATCGATCGAATATTTTCAATATTCATCTCATATTCGACAACAATCTTAAATAAATTTTACAGAGGATGAATTAACGTTTGCATTGATCTTTTCCTTCGTATAAACGTTTCCTTAAAGCTAAGTATTTTAATTCTTTGACATCGTACATCATCACACGTTTACCTATCACTCGTTTTCTTACAGAGCAATATATTAAAAATCAAAAAAAAAAAAAAAAGATATTACAAAAATTGCTTTACGATGTGCTAATGAATTTAATTTTTCAGAATTTTCAACCGTTAATTTTACACCTTGCTCATCGTTGCGCGACTGCGAATTATAATTGCGAACGCAGTATCGCAGCAATATTTCCGGGGGAGGTTATTTTCGATCATAGACACACTCAAGTACACACTAAAACAGACCAAAAAAAAAAAAAAAAAAAAAANAAAAAAAAAAAAAAAAAAAAACGTCGAAACTCGTGCCGATGAATTTGTTGACGAGTCGTTATTCGTTAAGATGTTAACTCGAGGATACCGCCTGAGTTAGCATCCTTACATGAAATTAAGGTCAACAAATTTCGCAGAGAGTATCAATGGTTTAAAAAAAAAAAAAAAAAAAAATGTGCTATTTGTGTTTGGGAGCGGGTGATAATAGGCTCCCAAGAAGTTCATACGGGTTTCTAAAAAAAAAAAAAAAAAAAACGGCCTGTTAGAAGTACCAAAAAAGAAAAAAAAAAAAAAAAAGTACTAATAAGAATAATAGTGTAACCGTTTCCTTTTTTTCGTGCAATCTGAAACGAATTTTTTCGGCACTGTTGTTGTTGTAAAGCCGTGTAGGCGAATAACATATCCGAGACACGATGCGCACCGTGTTTTACGGGCTTTAGAAAACGAGACCTCTACTTGAGTCACGCGTGTTGACCTGTGACAACTCGAAATAGAAAACAAAAAAAAAAAAAAAAAA